TCTGTCTGCCGTATTCTCTCTCTTTGCTCTTGTATCCTTATTAGGATGCCGGTGGGCGGAGTTGGGAGGGTCGTCAGCTACATGGGAAACACCTGGGCTTGGGTGTGTCCCAGGATAAATGGACCTCTTCCACATTCATTGGGGAGACTCTCTCCATGCAGACACCTTTATTGATTTTTGTTGTGGTATTTTTGTGGTTTTTTGGTTGTTTGCTTTGGCACCTTTCAACACCTTGCATTATTACATTTATGCATGCAAACACTCACTTACACTACTGATTACACACACCATTGTTAATTGTACTTAGTTTACTTTAGTTAATAAATATATATTTTGGTATTCCTTGTCTCCACTTTGTCTCCCTTTTGTTACGAACTTTGAGCCGGTTCGTGACATTGGGCTGCAATTTCTGAGACTGGTAACGCTAATGAACTTATCCTCTGCAGCAGAGGTAACTCTGGGTCTTCCATTCCTGTGGCGGTCCTCATGAGAGCCAGTTTCATCATAGCACTTGATGGTTTTTGCGACTGCACTTGAAGAAACTTTCAAAGTTCTTGAAATATTCCGTATTGACTGACCTTCATGTCTTAACGTAATGATGAACTGTTGTTTCTCTTTGCATTAAGAAGGAAAGAAATTCCACAAATTAACTTTTAAGAAGGCAAACCTGTTAATTTAAATGCATTCCAGGTGACTACCCCATGAAGCTGGTTGAGAGAATGCCAAGAGTGTGCAAAGCTGTCATCAAGGTAAAGGGTGGCTATTTGAAGAATCTCAAATATGAAATATATTTTGATTTGTTCAACACGTTTTTGGTTACAACATGATTCCATATGTGTTATTTCATAGTTTTGATGTCTTCACTATTATTCTACAATGTAGAAAATAGTAAAAATAAAGAAAAACCCTTGAATGAGTAGGTGTTCTAAAACTTTTGACCGGTAGTGTATAAGCCCTCAAGAAAGAACAAATGGGTTGAGAAGTTAAGGATCCACATTGAATATCTCCTCTATATTCTCTGGAATCTGTGGATGAGTTACTGAGTCTGAGTGCATGGAGTATAGGAACAGTGCAGCACAAGGCAAATACAGAAATGGCCATAATGCATTGGCTACAAGAACTGATAATGATAGTGGATACAAAATAACAATAAATGGGGCTTTGTTTAAGGCAGATTTTCAATGTTTGTGAGTTTACTTGGAATATCAGTGGTGTGTGGGTTAGAGCTGGGGAAGGATAACTGGGGAATAGGGCAGTATGAGAAAGACAGAAGGGGAGAAAAGAGGGAACTGGGAGAGAAAGGGGTTAAAGGGAAACAGATTGTAATCAGATGAGGGTGATCGATGGGAGGGGAAGTGGACAGAATCAGTCCTCATAGAGGCCATTTTGTCACAATAACGCACCCTGACACGCACACGCAAACATGCATACACACATACATACCATCACAGGGCCTTAAAAGGGTGCACTTAGAGCATGCAAATGTCTAGACGTACATTAACAAAGAATAATGGCTGCCATTTTTGTACGCCTGCAAAAAGGCACTTTTTTCTCACTGTACAGAATGAGACTGGGCTGAAACTCATAAATAATGATATGGAGGAAAGGCTGGGCAAAATGTTTCATTCCAACACAGGGAGGGTCTGAAACATGTCTCTGTGCATTTTCACTCCTACTGGAAGTATTCTAGAGGGAGAAAGGCTGTATGTCCTTAAACAACCAGCATTACCTTTCATAAGGTTACAGGTGGAGTATCATACACAAAACATACCATTTTATCTACATCAAAAGCACTACAGTGTATTACCGAACAATGAGGTACACATTTATCCTCCTCTCATAGTGTCAAATACATACACACATATATGGGTTTGTCGAAAATACTATTGACTTTCTCTGGTTTTGTTGTGCCTCTGTGTTAGTCTGGGTTCTATAGATAAGCTTTCAGAAACAATAGGCTGCTCTCCCATTGAGATGTCATGAGCTGGACTTGTCTTAGTGTTTGTCTCCCTGCTGGGGACTGCTCTGTAAACAATCTGCTGGCTGTTGTTAAGTGATAAACCACTGTTCTATAAGCGGACACAGATCAATACTGAGATGCATTCATAATTTATATCACTTTTGTGTTGTTCTCAGTTTGATTTATAGGCGTTTCACAGTGCTATAGAGAACAGAGCTGGCTCTGAGTTCCACTGATTGAGACATCCACGCAGACACCCGGTCATGCAGCCGATTTCAACAGATGGCACATCACAAAGTACGGTGCCCGTGATCACCCCTGAATGGCTGTAAAGCCTTGCCACACTCATCTCCCCTCCCTCCTCCTTCATCCCTTCTTTCTCCACTGCTTCGACACACAGCCATCTATTATTCCATACCCATCTCCATGGCAATGTATTTCTTCATCCACGTTTTCCAGGCGTAAAATAAATGATGTGACTAAAGGCTCAGGGGAAGAAGAAAAGGCTCAGCCCCTCCTCTTAAGGGCAGTAAATTGTCAGAGTCTGGCCCCCTGTCCACCTACCCCCCTGCACTCCCCCCCCCCCCCCATCCTCCCCCATCCCCTCTGCTCCCCCCTCCCCCTAAACCTCCGCCCACTGCCCTGCACCCAGACTAATAGTCTGACGGGAGAGAAGGATGGCAGGTGGCCAGGCTAGCCTCTGAGGACAATGTCTCAGCCAAGAGGCAGAAAGAGAGAGAGAGAGATTTTACCGGGTTGTAAAAACTGCTGTATGACCGAATCGTCATGACCTGAAGCCGTCACTGTGGCTGTCCAAAATTACGCCATCATCACCTCCAGTCCAGCCATTGGCACACAAACATGTTGATAGTGTTAGTTTTACAACACCTCAAAGGTTTTCCCCCACTGCTATGGGTCACATATTTCACTCTCACTGTCACCGTTTTACTGCTGTGTCTCTAACAGAGTTGAAGTCCCTCCATGGCCAGAAAATGTCCTGGAAGTAAATGATGATGATGGGCCTTCACTGACCTGAACCAGAGCTGTTCTCTTTCCATTGGAACGAGAGCATTCTCCACACAGGGCTCCCTCAGGAGTCTCTGCAGACATACGGTTATTAGAGATATATTTCCTGGCTGTATCTGCATGCGAGAAGTGCTCTATCCAGTCTGTACATCAAACCATTAACACAGGAGCCCTCCTCATAAAACACATAGTGAGGATGACCTAATCACCACATTTTACAGGACGTCTGGAAGAGGCCAGGACGGCGGACGGTTACTGGCCAGAAAAATATATCTCTCTGTGAACATGTGAATTAACTAAGTACACATTTATCCTCAAACTCTCAATCACTCACATCCCCAAACTCACAGTACACAAGGCATGTTTAAAAACAAAGGGTTTCTTCTTTAGCCTCCATTCATAAACTAATATTTCATTTCTAAAATGTCTTGTCCTTTAAGACGTGAACCATTATATTTAAGTATCAATGAGCTGAGGATGAGGTAGGTTACTATCATAACGATACTTCAGTTGTACAGGAGAGCTAGAAAAGTGTACTCCTCTCATCCCTCAACCTTTTTTTGCAGTCCAATCCCAAACCACCCTCCCTAACAAACCATTATGCTATATGACACCACAGTCCAAAACAGTGTCCATACAGTCCATAATATTCAGCCCCTCAGGATGGTCTGGTAAAATTAGCCCGTTACACACTCTAATTCCAGCAGGGCAGTTTGTTAGCTGATGAAAACTGAGGGAGGTTGCCCGGGAACTGACACATTTTTATATTTCCATAGTTAATGCATTCCTGAGAGCTTATTCACCAGTGACAGGGAAACAAACAATGGCCTTATTGTGGGTTGGAGCTCAGCTAGAGCATTGGTCCCTACCAGGAGAGGAGAGGAGAGGAGCGGCATGGAGGCCTAACTCATTAACACACTGCTATGTGGGGCTAACGTCCTTAGCAGAGGCCTGTATGGCTGCGACTGCCCTTCCGAACATTTGACCATATAACGATGTTGTCATATAAACAGACTACCTATACTGTATAAATATGATGTTTTTTTTTTAAAAAAAGAACCCTGACCAATGTGTAATAAACATAATGTTTAATATAAAAAAACAAACTAGAAAACACTGCATATATTATCTACTCACAATGGAAGAATGAGAATAAAAAATAATATCAACAGTTGAGGGGATCCCCCTTCAAATATTAAAATGGCGCTAGAAAAACCTCTACAACAAATATGATTTTTTTCACTGACATGAATTATTCATGTTTCAATTTCAAGTGCGAAAGTTTCCTTTTTATCTGATTCAGTTAACTTCTCAAAGCATGAAACTACATTAATATTTTCTGAACATTTAAATTACATGATAGAGTACAGCGAATGTCATTATATGTTACTATCTGATATACTCAATGAAATGCTAGATCCTGATGTCCTGGTGCATGGTCCTTCAGACAATGTTACCATCTCTATTCTTATACCATGAAGTCAGAATCCTACTAAATTGGCTGCGAACCATACAGAGATATGCCTGGTGTTTGCCACAATCATAAAAAAAGTATTAGTTCTAACTAATTCAAAGAGCATAACTGTACACATGATTATCACATAGCCACAATGACATAGTAACACATTCCACTCCTATACTGTACATAATAGAGCTTAGTATGGTGTTCTCCTATTATTCCACACCTATACAGTACACAGCAGAGCTTAGTGTTTCGTTTTAAATAGTTATTTTGTGGTACTGTAACAAATCTGTCTTCCTCCTCTTCCCCATGCTGTTATCCTCTGTGGTTCAGAGAAGGGGAGTGGAGGGAGTGTTTGGGTTGTTGTTCCTCAGAGAAACTCAGCAGTTTATGCTTCGGCCTCATCAGTCTTGCTTCTTACAGGTAATAACTGCTGCTCTCAAATGAGGTTAAATGTGGAGTACACTCATCTATGAAGGCTTGGTCAAGTCATAAGCTATTTTGTTGCCTGGGTTCTTCACATTGAAAAGGCTGGCCTCTGTGAGCCTGCATGGCGATGGGTGGGGCGGGGTGAGTGATTGATTGACAGGACCATAGAAGGTTTAGGACGTGTCCGTCACACATAGTGTTCCCGGTGGTTGATGTAGATGCGATCCGCCCCATTCTGGTGACACACCCACTCCTGATAGGACAGAGGCTGGTGGGAGGGGCTTTGGGGTTCCCGGGGCATGAGCCTGGCAGGTGTTCTCTCTGCCATCTCAAACTGCCGCTCAGCCCTGTGAGCCTGCAAAAATAGAGGATGGGATGACACACTTGGTCGCTGTTGATACAAAATAAATATATATTCCGGAAATTAGTCATATCAACTTTCTACTAAAAAACTAAAAACTTTTCAACCCTAAATATATGCAGCTAAAAAAGCACATCAAAGATGAGGGAATGAGTTGAAGAGAATTGGCACTGAATCAGTAGAGGGTCTCAGAGGAGAGACGCTAGATGGATAGAAATTACTGTTCTCCAAGAAGTCCAGACAGACGACAGCCTTTGTTGGGAACACTAGACTCTGTAGCTCTACATACACAGATACTCATTTAAAAACACAGAGAAAATCAACTTTACTGGTGTGTGTGTGTGTATGCACGTGAGGTAGGGTTCAGGCCAAAGCCATTATGTTCCTTGTATGGACCTGAATACTAATATCACTCTTAAATGAACCAGTAAATGAGGTAAAGATAGAAACAGAAGGGAGAAGGGTAGGATGAAAGAGGGAGAAAGAGAGAGAGAGAGAGAGAGAGAGAGAGAGAGAGAGAGAGAGAGAGATGCATGGTTGGAAACAGAGGACTATGAATCATTCAATGATCTTAAAAGAAAGACTTGCTTTTGCTTCTCACTGAGCTGAATGAATCTAACTCTATTTTAACCCCAATCTAGCTCTTCTCCTTCCCCAGAGCTCAATTGATTTAAGGTTTACTTAAATGAGAAGTTGACCTGTAAGGAGCAGTGTGGTGTAGTGCAACAACCATAACCCTAACCCTAGCTTCATGTCCACATCCCGGTTTAACCCCAAACCTGGCCACAACCAGAAGCCTAACTCCAGATATAACACTAACCTTAGCTCCACCTGCAACCCTACACACAATAATAGTGTTTACCTGTGACAGGGAGGCCACCTGTGGTGCGTGGACAACCAGAGGGATGGCTGGGGGTCTCTCTGTGTAGGGAGGAGGAGGCTTGTGTGTCGGAGGTAGATCAATCCTGCAGGGAGACAGGAGAAAATAAAAAACATTGGTTGTCTCTCTTAAAATGTAAACTGACAGTGACTATAACGCACACCTTAAGACATGTTATTGTGTGATGGCAAACCAGGTAATTGCAAAGTTGTAGAACCAGATTAATTAAATTGTGTTAGGAACGGTTTCCACTGTGAATGAATTCAATTACAGGCTAAAATCGACAAGCACTAAGCCGAGTTAAATAGAGTGATTAGGTTAACACCCGTCCCCTCATCAGCTCATGCTTGGCTTGCCAATCAACCTAATCTCCTCCCACATCCTTCAAACCCCCCTCAAGAGCGTCTGCTAAATGACAAAAAAATTAATAAATAAATTCCCCTCAACATTCCCCCCTCCCCCCACACCAAAATACTGGCCAACTCCCCTGAAACAGATCCTATTCTAAACACTAATCGTCAAAACCATCCTCATGATACAGAAAGCTCCTACTTCGCCCCACACCACCACTACAGCATATTTTTTTTATTTAAATACTTTTTACCCCCCAATATTTACAGTCTTGTCCCATCGCTGCAACTCCCGTACGGACCCGGGAGAGGCGACGTTCGAGAGTCATGCGTCCTCCGAAACACGACCCTGCCAAGCCACACTGCTTCTTGACACACTGCTCGCTTAACCCAGAAGCCAGCCGCACCAATGTGTTGGAGAAAACACTGTACAGCTGGCGACTGAAGTCAACGTGCATGCGCCCGCCACTAGGAGTCGCTAGAGCGCGATGGGACAAGGACATCCCTGCCGGCCAAACCCTCCCCTAACCCGGAAGACGCTGGGCCAATTGTGCGCCGCCTCATGGGTCTCCCGGTTGCGGCCAGCTGCGACACAGCCTGAGATCGAACCTGGGTCTGTAGTGACGCCTCTAGCACTGCGATGCAGTGCCTCAGACCTCTGCGCCACTCGGGAGGCCACCACAACATCTTGACTCCACTATGCTGTCTGCTTTTCCCTCTACACCAGGGATAGGCAACCCTGTTCCTGGAGTGCCGCAGGTACTGCAGGATTTTGTTCCAACTAGGCACCACACCTGACCAACTCAGCTAATGGATCAGTTCAGTGATTGCCTAAGTTCAACACACCTGGTCTTCCAGGTCGGTTAAATCAAAAACATGGAAGTGCCTACTCCAGGACCGGGGTCGCCTACCCCTGCTCTACACTCTACTCCTGTTTTGGAGAGCTCTAATATCATCTCTCTTGCTCTTTCTCTAACTCCAAATCTTTGTCCTTCATCCTCTCTCTGACCATAATTCCATGTGTTTATTGCTGGACAAGCACACCTGATTCAACTTGTCAACTAATCATCAAGCCCTCAATGAGTTGAATGAGGTGTGTGTGTCCAGGGCTACAACACAACTGTGTACTGTTGGGGGTACTGGAGGACCAGGGTTGGGAAACACTGCTCTAAAGTGCATTCCTTGCTCCTCAGCATAGCAAGGCATAAGAGCTCGTAGGTCTCCTTCTCCTTCTCTCTGACTTGGATGAGACATGCAGAGAACACATGGCTGATGTATAGTTAATGACCTTGCGTGTGTTTCCCACAGAAGGCTGTGGGACTGTAGAGTGCACCTGATCCATTAGAAGAAGAGCTGGGCTTTAATATGTGTGTGATGACAAAGAGGGATGAGGCCTGTATCCATTCAGCTGGGCCCCCGGGTCTACAGGGATGCCCTCAGGGACACAGCCAGGGTCACACTCAGGCCGACTGCCTTTCATTTGGCATCAGACACAAAACAGGAAGGCCCAGAGTAGACACACCTCTCTGGACCTGAGTGTGTGTGTGTTGTTTGAGTAGTAGAGCTATGTGGAGCTATGCATGCAGGCACAGAAAGTCTCTTTACCATTCGCACACAGCTGTTCACTACTGGGTTTCAGATCAGGGTTGTGTTTCTTTTGGCCAGACTGGCTGCATTAGAGTCCTCTCAAACAGTCAGTCTGAGAATCTGCTCTCACACTCGTTGGCTCCAAGGAAGCGGGGACAAACAGCTGTAGAATACAAATGTGAATCTCCAGTGAAAGAGCCAGAGAGTCAAGGACAAGGTCGAGGATTTTGCAAAGTGACCAGACAGCTACCATAATGGTTAAATAAGACCTTGGATCAATGGCAAAACGAATGAAACAATCTAGGCTTATTCTCCCCATTATTGACAGGATCAACCCTAGTGCTCTTTCTCAGAAATGGCTAAAATGTAGGGATAAGGTTAGTCAGAATCACACACATACATATACTCACACATGCACGCGCACACACACAGACACACACAGGCACACACTGGAACCCTATCCTGCATGCAGTGTTTAACAGCGTGTCGTGTAATGGAACCCTACCCTGCATGCAGTGTTTAACAGCGTGTAATGTAATGGAACCCTACCCTGCATGCAGTGTTTAACAGCGTGTGGTGTAATGGAACCCTACCCTGCATGCAGTGTTTAACAGCGTGTGGTGTAATGTAACCCTACCCTGCATGCAGTGTTTAACAGTGTGTAGTGTAATGGAACCCTACCCTGCATGCAGTGTTTAACAGCGTGTAGTGTAATGGAACCCTACCCTGCATGCAGTGTTTAACAGTGTATAGTGTAATGGAACCCTACCCTGCATGCAGTGTTTAACAGCGTGTAATGTAATGGAACCCTACCCTTCATGCAGTGTTCAAACGCATGTAATGTAATGGAACCCTACCCTTCATGTAGTGTTTAACAGCGTGTAATGTAATGGAACCCTACCCTGCATGCAGTGTTTAACAGCGTGTTGTGAAATGGAACCCTACCCTTCATGTAGTGTTTAACAGCGTGTAGTGTAATGGAACCCTACCCTGCATGCAGTGTTTAACAGCGTGTAGTGTAATGGAACCCTACCCTGCATGCAGTGTTTAACAGCGTGTAGTGTAATGGAACCCTACCCTGCATGCAGTGTTTAACAGTGTATAGTGTAATGGAACCCTACCCTGCATGCAGTGTTTAACAGTGTGTAGTGTAATGGAACCGTACCCTGCATGCAGTGTTTAACAGCGTGTAGTGTAATGGAACCCTACCCTGCATGCAGTGTTTAACAGTGTGTAGTGTAATGGAACCCTACCCTGCATGCAGTGTTTAACAGTGTGTAGTGTAATGGAACCCTACCCTGCATGCAGTGTTTAACAGCGTGTAGTGTAATGGAACCCTACCCTGCATGCAGTGTTTAACAGTGTATAGTGTAATGGAACCCTACCCTGCATGCAGTGTTTAACAGCGTGTAGTGTAATGGAACCCTACCCTGCATGCAGTGTTTAACAGCGTGTAATGTAATGGAACCCTACCCTGCATGCAGTGTTTAACAGCGTGTAGTGTAATGGAACCCTACCCTGCATGCAGTGTTTAACAGCGTGTAGTGTAATGGAACCCTACCCTGCATGCAGTGTTTAACAGTGTGTAATGTAATGGAACCCTACCCTGCATGCAGTGTTTAACAGCGTGTGGTGTAATGGAACCCTACCCTGCATGCAGTGTTTAACAGCGTGTAGTGTAATGGAACCCTACCCTACATGCAGTGTTTAACAGCGTGTAGTGTAATGGAACCCTACCCTGCATGCAGTGTTTAACAGCGTGTGGTGTAATGTAACCCTACCCTGCATGCAGTGTTTAACAGTGTGTAGTGTAATGGAACCCTACCCTGCATGCAGTGTTTAACAGCGTGTAGTGTAATGGAACCCTACCCTGCATGCAGTGTTTAACAGTGTATAGTGTAATGGAACCCTACCCTGCATGCAGTGTTTAACAGCGTGTAATGTAATGGAACCCTACCCTCATGCAGTGTTTAACAGCAGTGTATGTAATGGAACCCTACCCTGCATGAGTGTTTAAACAGCGTGTAATGTAATGGAACCCTACCCTGCATGCAGTGTTTTAACAGGTGTTGTAATGGAACCCTACCTTGCATGCAGTGTTTAACAGCGTGTAGTGTAATGGAACCCTACCCTGCATGCAGTGTTTAACAGCGTGTAGTGTAATGGAACCCTACCCTCATGCAGTGTTTAACAGCGTGTATGTAATGGAACCTTACCCTGCATGCATTGTTTAACAGCGTGTAGTGTAATGGAACCCTACCCTGCATGCAGTGTTTAACAGCGTGTAGTGTAATGGAACCCTACCCTGCATGCAGTGTTTAACAGTGTATATGTGTAATGGAACCCTACCCTGCATGCAGTGTTTAACAGCGTGTAATGTAATGGAACCCTACCCTGCATGCAGTGTTTAACAGCGTGTATGTAATGGAACCCTACCCTCATGCAGTGTTTAACAGCGTGTAGTGTAATGGAACCCTACCCTGCATGCAGTGTTTAACAGCGTGTAGTGTAATGGAACCCTACCCTGCATGCAGTGTTTAACAGTGTGTAGTGTAATGGAACCCTACCCTGCATGCAGTGTTTAACAGCGTGTAGTGTAATGGAACCCTACCCTGCATGCAGTGTTTAACAGCGTGTAGTGTAATGGAACCCTACCCTGCATGCAGTGTTTAACAGCGTGTAGTGTAATGGAACCCTACCCTGCATGCAGTGTTTAACAGCGTGTAGTGTAATGGAACCCTACCCTGCATGCAGTGTTTAACAGCGTGTAGTGTAATGGAACCCTAACCTACATGCAGTGTTTAACAGTGTGTAGTGTAATGGAACCCTACCCTGCATGCAGTGTTTAACAGCGTGTAGTGTAATGGAACCCTACCCTGCATGCAGTGTTTAACAGCGTGTAGTGTAATGGAACCCTACCCTGCATGCAGTGTTTAACAGCGTGTAGTGTAATGGAACCCTACCCTGCATGCAGTGTTTAACAGTGTATAGTGTAATGGAACCCTACCCTGCATGCAGTGTTTAACAGCGTGTAGTGTAATGGAACCCTACCTGCATGCAGTGTTTAACAGCGTGTGGTGTAATGGAACCCTACCCTGATGCAGTGTTTAACAGCGTGTAGTGTATGGAACCCTACCATACATGCAGTGTTTAACAGCGTGTAGTGTAATGGAACCCTACCCTGCATGCAGTGTTTAACAGCGTGTAGGTGTAATGTAACCCTACCCTGCATGCAGTGTTTAACAGTGTGTAGTGTAATGGAACCCTACCCTGCATGCAGTGTTTAACAGCGTGTAGTGTAATGGAACCCTACCCTGCATGCAGTGTTTAACAGTGTATGTGTAATGGAACCCTACCTCATGCAGTGTTTAACAGCGTGTAGTGTAATGGAACCTACCCTCATGCAGTGTTAACAGCATGTAGGTAATGGAACCCTACCCTTCATGTGTGTTTAACAGCGTGTAATGTAATGGAACCCTACCTGCATGCAGTGTTAACAGCGTGTGTGAATGGAACCCTACCCTTCATGTAGTGTTTAACAGCGTGTAGTGTAATGGAACCCTACCCTTCATGCAGTGTTTAACAGCGTGTAATGTAATGGAACCCTACCCTTCATGTAGTGTTTGACAGCGTGTAATGTAATGGAACCCTACCCTGCATGCAGTGTTTAACAGCGTGTAGTGTAATGGAACCCTACCCTGCATGCAGTGTTTAACAGCGTGTAATGTAATGAACCCTACCCTGCATGCAGTGTTTTAACAGCGTGGTAGTGTAATGGAACCCTACCCTGCATGCATGTTTAACAGCGTGTAGTGTATGGAACCCTACCCTGCATGCAGTGTTTAACAGCGTGTAGTGTAATGGAACCCTACCCTGCATGCAGTGTTTAACAGCGTGTAGTGTAATGGAACCCTACCCTGCATGCAGTGTTTAACAGCGTGTAGTGTAATGGAACCCTACCCTGCATGCAGTGTTTAACAGCGTGTAAGTGTAATGGAACCCTACCCTGCATGCAGTGTTTTAACAGTGTGTAGTGTAATGGGAACCCTACCCTGCATGCAGTGTTTTAACAGCGTGTAGTGTAAATGGAACCCTACCCTGCATGCAGTGTTTAACAGCGTGTAGTGTAATGGAACCCTACCCTGCATGCAGTGTTTTTAACAGTGTTAAGTATGGTAATGGAACCCTACCCTGCATGCAGTGTTTAACAGCGTGTAGTGTAATGGAACCCTACCCTCAGCAGTGTTTAACAGGTGTGGTGTAATGGAACCCTACCCTGCATGCAGTGTTTAACAGCGTGTAGTGTAATGGAACCCTACCTCATGCAGTGTTTAACAGCGTGTAGTGTAATGGACCCCTACCCTGCATGCAGTGTTTAACAGCGTGTGTAATGTAAACCCTACCCTGCATGCAGTGTTTAACAGTGTGTAGTGTAATGGAACCCTACCCTGCATGCAGTGTTTAACAGCGTGTAATGTAATGGAACCCTACCCTGCATGCAGTGTTTAACAGCGTGTAGTGTAATGGAACCCTACCCTGCATGCAGTGTTTAACAGCGTGTAGTGTAATGGAACCCTACCCTTCATGCAGTGTTAACAGCTGTAATGTAATGGAACCCTACCCTCATGCTAGTGTTTAACAGCGTGTAGTGTAATGGAACCCTACCCTGCATGCAGTGTTTAACAGCGGTAGTTGTAATGGAACCCTACCCTGCATGTCAGTGTTTAACAGCGTGTAGTGTAATGGAACCCTACCCTTCATGCAGTGTTTAACAGCGTGTAGTGTAATGGAACCTACCCTTCAGTGAGTGTTAACAGCGTGTAATGTAATGGAACCCTACCCTTCATGAGTGTTTAACAGCGTGTAGTGTAATGGAACCCTACCCTGCATGCAGTGTTTAACAGTGTGTAGTGTAATGGAACCTACCCTGCATGCGTTAAGTGTGTGTATGACCCACCTCATGCATGTTAACAGGTGTAGTGTAATGGAACCCTACCCTGCATGCAGTGTTTAACAGCGTGTAGTGTAATGGAACCCTACCCTGCATGCAGTGTTTAACAGCGTGTAGTGTAATGGAACCCTACCCTGCATGCAGTGTTTAACAGCGTGTAGTGTAATGGAACCCTACCCTGCATGCAGTGTTTAACAGCGTGTAGTGTAATGGAACCCTACCCTGCATGCAGTGTTTAACAGCGTGTAATGTAATGGAACCCTACCCTTCATGTAGTGTTTAACAGCGTGTAGTGTAATGGAACCCTACCCTGCATGCAGTGTTTAACAGCGTGTAGTGTAATGGAACCCTACCCTGCATGCAGTGTTTAACAGCGTGTAGTGTAATGGAACCCTACTCTGCATGCAGTGTTTAACAGCGTGTAGTGTAATGGAACCCTACCCTCATGCAGTGTTAACAACGTGTAGTGTAATGGAACCCTACCCTGCATGTCAGTGTTTAACAGCGTGTAGTGTAATGGAACCCTACCCTGCATGCAGTGTTTAACAGCGTGTAGTGTAATGGAACCCTACCCTGCATGCAGTGTTTAACAGCGTGTAGTGTAATGGAACCCTACTCTGCATGCAGTGTTTAACAGCGTGTAGTGTAATGGAACCCTACCCTGCATGCAGTGTTTAACAGCGTGTAGTGTAATGGAACCCTACCCTGCATGCAGTGTTTAACAGCGTGTAGTGTAATGGAACCCTACCCTGCATGCAGTGTTTAACAGCGTGTAGTGTAATGGAACCCTACCCTGCATGCAGTGTTTAACAGCGTGTAGTGTAATGGAACCCTACCCTGCATGCAGTGTTTAACAGCGTGTAGTGTAATGGAACCCTACCCTGCATGCAGTGTTTAACAGCGTGTAGTGTAGCAGGGTAATAAAGGCTGTAGCACCACAGACGGACTGTTCCCACAATAGACACATCCTCTTCAGCTCACTGTGTCTCTCTCTGTCTCCCTCATGGGAGTGATGGTTCGCTAGGGGCCGCCCAACACTATGGAACGGGAGCGGCTGATTGGCTAGCTTGTCCTGGTTGTCAGAATCTGAATCTGTGAATGGACGGTGAGGAAATGCAGACAGACAGGGGAGGTGTGGGATTGAGGAGGCCTTTCAAGAACAAATGGAAAACAGAGATGATGTAATCCCTTTGGGGATAACGATGCCGGATGGAGCTCCATATCTATGGTGTAATTTTCACATCCTGTATTGGAAAATGTTGTTTCAACTGGAGGGTAGACTGGTTAAAGCACTCCGTTTATATTGGGTGCATATGTGTGTGTGCCTGACATAAAACTGCACCCTAAAGGGAGGACAGGAGGACGCACAGATATGAGTTGAAAAATATGATGTTAGCCACATGCTTTGGGGAATCCCAATCACTTGAATCCACCCAACTCATCTACTCATCCACCCATCGACCCATCCACCCACACACACACACACACACACACACTGGGCCAGATGTCAGTCACAGACCTCTTGGGCAGGGAGTGACCCAACTCTCATGTAAATAATTTACTCTAAAAGTCCCTTCCTTCACCTTGCCCCAACGTTAACATGAGTGCAGGTCTAGCAATAGAAACCTACTCAGCAAAACAAGACAAGGGACTCCTGCCAAGACTGCAATTACCTATCACCCCTCAACCTTGTACCACCACCTCTCTACCTCCCTGCACCAGACTCCATTTTATGGTACACTGCAGTGGAATGACTCAAAACGCAGTATGTATAGGAAAGCCCTTTGGATTTGAGTTATACTGCAACTCCATGATGATTAGATAGTCACACAACATATCAGTTGACGATATTAACCAATGGATGAATTGATCCAATACTGCTGCAGTATACTGTGACAGCACTTCAACTCACACTTTGTCTGTGTACGTTGGGACCGAGGTCTTCCGTGCAGTGAGGATGACGATGGTGAAGACGGTTATGAGAAAGAGGGCGAGGACTGCCCCCATCACTGCCCCTGCCACGGCAACAGAGGTGGACCTCTTTTCCTGAGACTGGTCTGGAACAGAACACAGACGGATGATATGAAACAGCACAGACACAACCCCACATAACATATCAGAGCAGTGTAGAAATCATGTAGCAAAACATGTGACTATACAAATCCAGGAGCATTCTAACAGCATATGGCTGCGTTCACACAGGCAGCCCAATTCTGATCTTTATTTCACTAATTGGTCTTTTGACCAATCAGATCCGCTCTGAAAAAGATCTATAATATAATAATAATATGCCATTTAGCAGACGCTTTTATCCAAAGCGACTTACAGTCATGCGTGCATACATTTTTGTGTATGGGTGGTCCCGGGGATCGAACCCACTACCTTGGCGTTACAAGCGCCGTGCTCTACCAGTTGAGCTACAGAGGACCACTGATGTGAAAAGATCTGATGTGACTGGTCAAAAGACCAATTAGTGGGAAAAAGATCTGAATTGGGTTGCCTGTGTAAATGCAGCCTAAGTGTAAGTTTAAGAGGCTATGTGTGATGTGAGTGTGTGTGTCTGAGAGAGATCGAGACCTGCAGGCAGGTTGCTGACTGTCTCCCAGCAGTACGAACTACAGTAACTCAAGTGCAATTAGGGGCTCCATGCTGCTCCTCTTAAAGCCCTGCTGCTGTAGTCTCTCCCCTGCAGCTCCCCCATACTTCAATGGGCCTCATTCACTTTTCACCTCAGCCTCCATCCATCGCTCTTTTATTTCTCTCTCTATCAGTCTTTCTCCCTGCTCCTGTGCATGTTGTGTGTAATGTGGACCCTGGCAACATCTCTCTGTTGACTCTGTTCGTTAGATCACACACTCGTTATCCTCCATGTCGGGGGTCCGGAGAGGGGATTAACAATGATCACGATTAATTAAGATTCATTAAAATCACAGAACCTTATACAACCTAGTGGCATACACACAACCCTTATGGGGCTGGGTCAGACATAACGTTGTTGTTGCTTATCAGTTAGTGGCATGGAAAGAAGCATCCTTAAGAAAGTGAGCAGAGAGGAGAGGGGGAAGCAAGAGAAAGAGTGTGACAGCCAAGTCCAGTTGTTTAGCTCTTGAGCTGTAGAAAAATCTATAATCTGCAGAGACGAGAATCCAAAATAACATCTCAATTACGATGCAGAACAAACAGCGTGGGACCTTGGGTTGACCCCCCCCCTTCCTTCTCTCTCCCTCTATACACACCTCACATGACCGACAATAGGGGGTATTGGATTTAGCAGTAGCGCAGAGAGATTACGCTTCACTAGAGAGCAGTGAAGAACAGCCTCGAGTGAGACAGGGAAGGGAAAAGGAGGTATTAGTCAGACGTTCCTCGAAGGGTTATAGTAACTTCTCCTTTTGATAACCATGACAGCAGATGATGAGTCAAGTACAATGACCTTAAGACTCTCTGTTCTCTCTGCCCACTTTAGCTAACGTACATCTGACCAGACAAGGCAAGAGTGAATATACTGCTCCTATGAGTGGGGTGGTGGTAATGACAGACAGATGTGTAGGTGAGAGGTGTGTGTTGTGTGGATAAGAGGAGTGTGGTGTGTGTGGCTGTCAGGGGTGATCACAAGGATCCTGATTCTCAAACTCTAAAGTCTCAGTCACACCAATAGTGTTTTCTGGCCAGAGAACTTAGCACCTCTGAAAGTCATTTGCGAACCAAGTGCGCAACGATTTTACATGTAGAATCACGTGAAAAAATGTTGTCAGTCAGACTTCTGCAGCGGGTGGTCCCTAAAACACAACACGCTGAATGATCAGCAGACTAACGCTAGATCCACATTCGATGTGATGTGCGCAAGCCTTAAGGATCCTAATTCTCTAATTCTAAGGCTGCCGTGGCCAACACCTTAGAGGATTTGATAGACACTACATCCCGACGATAGATTCCCAAACTGCAACCTGACCCAGGTAGAGGCTTAATCCTGTCTCAGGGTCTCAGTCTACTAATCCACTTGTCTCAGAACCGTGCTGACAGACAAAGCCCAACCCAAACCCCTCTGAAAGGACAGAGGGAATCAGAGGTGTATGACCACACCCGTACCTAACCCAGGTCAGGGCAAACCTAAACCCCAGAGGTGACTGAACACATATCACTGACCTACAGAGGTCAAACTGAGACTGGGAGGGGACAGCAGATGCCCCCTGAGACAGTCACCCACGCTAAAATCTTAACAGCAAGGTCAAGGGTCATGTGGTTACCGGCCAAACAGCGAGCCCTGAGGAAGCAGATGCTCATGTAGTGGGCGGATCAGATGGGACGAGGCGGCGGGACAGGAAGAGTGTGGGTGGTCTGTCACCCTGTCAGGCATCTGTCCCAATTAGACACCAGCTAGCTGCACAGTGGGGCACGGTACTGGTGGTCCCCACTACTCTCTGTTTGTTACAGTCAAACTCAATCTTCATTTAAAAACTGATTTCTAAATTAAATATTTTCACATTAATTTAAGATTGTGCACTACCCTGCTGTCTGCACTGTGGGTCGACTCTGGTTCGTAAAGTATACCTAAAATCGCTTCATATCTGCTGAAGGTGATAGATAAGACAAATCAATTAATCGATTTGTTTAATGGGATTTCAACATAATTCAAGCATAACAGACTGAAAATCATTACTGCTGGAGAGCTGGTGTTAAATCAACAGTCCACTCAGTACAATATAATTAGGCATGTTCCAGTCCAAGGTGAATGAGGCCTTGCAAAACTTTCATGGACACAATCTACTGAAATAAGAGTCGAGCAGAAAGAAGATTTTCTGGAAAAGCGGTGTCTTGATGACATACACGAACACAATGCCAAGGTCCCAAATGATTTCTTAACCCTGCAGAGCCACCTCAATGCAACTGGCAGCTTATCATAATGGGCCATTTCATGTCTGATGGCCAATTCTCTAATTTTCCTGTCCTTCAACAGCCCCTTTGACCTTGCTCTCCCCCCCCCCCCCCTCTCTTGACCCCCTCTCTCAGTCTGCAGGTACATGCAGTGGGACCCTGAGGGAGCCCGCCTCTGTCACCAGCTCCAGATGAGACTGTTGCCATGGGGACAGAGTCAATGGCCCAGAGAGGGGGAACTCAGGGGCAGATATAAACACTAACCATTTGATTTCACCAGCTGTGAAATACTGGGAGAGAGGCACAGGGGAAATTCACAAAGGAGACAAGCTGTAGAGGGGAGCAGGGGGCAATTTCTGTTCTGTCACAAAGCCAGACGAGAGATGACAAGAGAACCAGAGAGGGGAAAGAGACTAAAGACAAGAGGGTTTTTTGATCTCTGCTGACTTCTACAAAAAGCATTTGGAGAGAGGCAGAGTAAGAGAGAGAAGGAGAAGGGAAAGAGATGGGCAGCAGTCAAATAGAGCAAAAAACTAATGAAATCTCATATTGCAACGCTGGCTTGTGATAATGGCAGTAACCTGATATAGATTTGTTTGGAAGATTTTACTCTGCGAGTGTGTGCTCTCCATGTCCACACAGTGATTCACCGGCGCACAGGCTGTATGATGAGTGAGGGAGCTAAAGATGACGTCACCTTGAAGAGCACAGGGAGGAGAATGATCAGTTTGAGAGTACAGTAGCTGCCTGAGGAAGCTTGTGATGCTTGTTTAGGAGTGCAGATCAGTCAGGAAATGCAACTCACAGAAAAAAAGGTGCTTTATTGAAAACAAAAGTATTAAAAAAAAAAAGATGTACTGTACAAAATAATGCTTATTGTCGTTGATGATACAGCATGTGATTATTTTCTATTTTTTCTTGAATTATATATGTTTAAAACTTACAGTAGCTCTTCTCTTATATACAGAACAAGCATGAACACAATGGGAAGGTGCTTGCAAGAAGAATGTGAAATACAGTTGGAGGTCAACCCTGGTGAGGTGGTGGGGTGCTCCACTCTCCATTCTCTCAGACTTTGTACAAGAACTAAACAAAAATCCCCACTTCATTTTCTTATATACCATGCACACTTAAAGGGACAGTTCACCCAAATTGACACATTGGTTTCCTTACCCTGTAAGCAGTCTATGGACAAGGTCTGACAGCAATCCATGCTTTGGTTGAGTTTCCCAGGCACTGTTTCCACATGCTAATGTTTTAGCATTCGTGGGACACATCCCATTCAAGTCATTGGACCGATATTAGCATTTTTCACGCATCATGTCCAAATCATCCAAAAGTATCTAAAATTGATTGTGAAGCTCAACAAAGTCACTTATAGATTATTTGAATCTAAACCAAAGCATGGATTGCAATCATACCTTGTCCATAGACTGCTTACAGGGTAAGGAAACCAATGTCATTTTGTAATTTGGGTGAACTATCCCTTTAACTCTGCTGCCCTGACAGAACACTGTCATATAGGAACTGTACAATAATATAATGATCATGACTGTAAGTCGCTTTGGATAAAAGCGTCTGCTAAATGGCATATTATTATTATATTATCCTTTTAGCTTAGTTCAGCTTTGTTTAGGTGTTTTGCAACTCAGACGTTGCAAATGTCTTTCATTGTAAGAGCAAAAATAATGCTATCATCAAACTTCATGACTTAGAGAGAAGACAGAAAAGAAGATGCGTCACAAAAAGAGAATCCCTCAATCAAAAATGAACAAAAAACTAACAACAAAAGGCAACAAACGTCTCACTCAGAGGACCAAACAGGCCTTGCACTTTTGTCTGTAAAAATAACATTACCATATTTTTTTTATTTGATTACTGTACTACTCACTTTACTGCTCTTCTGGGATAAGGCACCGGTCACATAACTGAACCCAGAGCCGCGAGTAACAGAGGAAATCTCACTAGACGACGGAGAACAATGATTCTCTATTTACTTCACAGTATCACAGATGAAATAACAAAACTGAAGTAGAAGTATTATGCCCATTCACTGTTTTCTTCGAAATATGGAGAGCCTATAAATGGTACTCTATTTCTATGGGCATTTCAGATTATATATAGAAAAGCACACATAAATAGAGGAAGAGGGTGCTTACAGAATGCATGTAGCTCCTGAACATACAGCCATCCCCTCATCTGTGAAAAGGGATCCCTAGTTTAATATTTTTTCTTCTATTAAGGGCTGAAAATCTCTGTATGAAGAGGTAATATACAAGTTAACTAATACTCAGTTTTAACTCATTAGTTATCATTACTGTACTGCTATCTGAGACAAACCACCACACTGATACATAACATTGCAGACATAGTTCTAACCTATGACATCCTGCTGCAATGACAGCATCTAATGCTATCTGACAATACTGACGAGGTTGGCACTGGTACCAATAATACACTCACACATACGTGTGGAACAGCACATAATGAGTATAATGTTGTGTGATTTGTATACATGCTATCCACTTAGCTACTACAACAAATGTACGTGCCAGAAATCTGTAAATTATTTCCCCTTTCTGTGGGTACCAAACCATAGACCAAAAAGAAATGAAATCTGGAATGACAAGTAAATACACTCCACTTTTTGATTTCTCTTCCCTTCTTCCATCTTTCTTTGGGGACAGTTTCTCTCTGATTTAATTCCATTTAAAGAATTATTAACTGGCACAAGAGTGCTGCCTTTGTATACAAAGTAATTAACATTAAAAGGAAAATTGCTGCAGGCTTGCAATCAAAACAATACCATGAGGCAGACCCAGTAGTGCATGTATAGTGAACTGTGATCCCTAACCACACATTAACTAGTTAACAGATTTGTCCTCTAGTGCAGAATGAAGGCATGTCCACACAGTGTGGCTAGGCAATCCACACACCTTCCATGATGAGGATCAAAATCAGAGGAAAATACCTCTTGTATGAGAAATGACAAACCATGTTGAAAAAGAGCAAGATAGAACTACAGTAAAAAGACAATGTCCAAACACATGAGCTTGTGAGAAAGAGAGAAAGAGAGAGAGAGATGTAGAGAGTCAGAACATGTGAGTATTCTCTTTTCTTAAATAATGTATGAAATCCTCCTCTCTTCTCTCTGGTGACAGAGTCTGGTGGCAGGGTAGCATGCCTGGTGGTGGTGGTGGGATCAGACGTACCACTCCCTGCGTGAGATCACTGAGCCATCCGTATGGGAGACATAGTCCCCCTCGGCCCCACTGTCATAGCAGTCATCCGACAGGTAGGGGGAGCCAGTGCTCAGTGGGTGTGACTTGGCAGCGTATCTGGCATGGCCTATCTGGTGGGGGCTGGGGTAGCTACGCAGGTGGTCGTGGTCATGGTGATTGTGGTCTCCGTTCCTCATCGCCCTCGTGAGGCCGTTGGGCTGGCACTCCGGTTCTCTGTGGGTTGTTCAAGATGGTTGTTGATGTTGGATGCAGGTGGAGGCGTTCGCGGTCGCCCCACTCTTCGCGGTCCTTGTCTAGGTAGACGTTATTGGCAGGCTTGGTGGGGTGGAGCTCATGCTGTGGAGGAGCCTTCTGCATGTCTGAAGGCCCTACGTACTGCTTAGTGTAGTAGTCCCCGCGGAAGGTCTGCCGTTGCCGTAGGTAACAGACCCCGCCCAGCACCAGCAACAGGAGGAACAAGGCTCCGCCCACAGCCCCGCCCACGATGGTGCCCAGGTGGTTGTCGGGGGGCAGGGCTGCCAGGGTGGGGGAGGTGAAGAGGACCCGTCGCTTGTCTCCCACAGAGGAGGAAGCAGAGCCGGTTAGGACAGGCACAGGGGTGGTGGAGGGCATGGATGTGGTGGGAGGATCTAATGGAGGGAGGCAGGGTGGGAGGTAGGAGTAGAGGGGGAGATGGGGGAAAGGAGAGGGTCAGGGAGGGAGGGATGGAAAGGCAGACAGAAAAGTAGAGAATGTCAATGCCAACTAAATCAGCATATTACTGAAAGGGGATAGGTTGACATGAAAATACTACCTACATTTCTACATCTAAAACGACATGCTCATAACAGCCTCTGGTTTGCAATGACATGTCTGAACAAAGTATGTTGTTGTTGTTGTTAGGTCTTGACAGACCACTTGAGGATAGAAGTTGCCTTTAAAAATGTGTAGATGTGGTAAATTAACTGTTGATGTCTTGGGACTGAGCTAATGTACCCAAAATTACATGCAGCCTATAGCAGCCAAATGTGCTGTAGGCTGAGCTGTAGCAAACCAGCGACTGTGAAAGTGAGCATTATTACATTACTCACAAAATAATGGAAAGGTAAGGCAGAGGGATGTGATGTTACTAGTCTAGGAACCAGAGATGAGTGATCAGGAACTAAGTCATCTACAAAGCAAAAACACATTTTTTAAAACAATCATCAATTGAAGTCAATGCTGACTGGCTTTTGTTAGTGTCTGTAACACCTTATTTGAAGTAGTACGGTATAACCTGTTCATAATGCCCACATAATGCTGGCTGACAACTAGAGGCAACATGACATACACACTGTTAGTCACTATGTTCCTTGCCTGTAAATCTATGCAAGAGGGAAGAGAAGACTTGTTCCGGATTGCACAGATCTACTGTTAGGTTTGAGGGACACTCACATGACGTACTGTAGCTACCTCCATTAAAATCAGGTTGAATGAACTAACTGATTAACACTTTAATGATAATGATGTGCCTGTTATGTGTGCTTATGAGGGCTTTATGAAGAGCTTATGTTGAGCATTTCAAATAAAGATAAACATGTCATTGCCATGGATAATGTTGTGAGACAATGACAGGTAGGAAGGAGGGATGTCTAGAATAGAGTCAGCACTGATGTTAGGGGCTTGGAGAGATGGGAAGGACTACTAAGATAGAAGGGATTGGTTCAGGGATGGATACTCGGGTAAAGAGATGGGCAAAAAGGGTGAATCACTCCTTCACAATTCATCCAATCAGTCAATTTGAACAACTGTTTTGGGCATATGCGTTAATGACTTGATCCAGATCTTCAAATACCCCCTAGAATGTTCTTTGGGCCAGATGAACCATGATCATGCACCCTTAATCAACAGCTTAGTATCACAGATGGGACATGCTGTCACATCTCTGGTCAATCTGCTGTGCGTATTCCATCTGCTAGTATTTCTGTCCGGACTTGCTGAGTCTGTATTTAACCATTGTGGTTATGATTGGATTAGGACTGAGTGATGTGTCTGCTGCATCATGTGTGAAAGGTTCCCTCTAAAAGTGTTAAGTGACATTGTGAAGTTGTTCAAACAGGGACATAAAATGACACTCCAGTCTTAGTTCCTAGTTCCAGGTCAGATGTCTGTAGAGATATAGATCTCTGACGTTATGGCCCTGTGAATTCCACTTGAATCATATGAATTATGCGACACCATGCGGAGACACTGCACGAACGTTTGGGCGCACAACACACCACACACACACCCCCAGAGGCGTGCACACAGAGACAACACACCACACACACCCCCAGAGGCGTGCACACAGAGACAACACACCACACACACCCCCAGAGGCATGCACACAGAGACAACACACCACACACACCCCCAGAGTCGTGCACACAGAGACAACACACCACACACACCCCCAGAGGCATGCACACAGAGACAACACACCACACACACCCCCAGAGGCATGCACACAGAGACAACACACCACACACCCCCAGAGTCGTGCACACAGAGACAACACACCACACACACCCCCAGAGTCGTGCACACAGAGACAACACACCACACACACCCCCAGAGGCATGCACACAGAGACAACACACCACACACACCCCCAGAGTCGTGCACACAGAGACAACACACCACACACACCCCCAGAGGCATGCACACAGAGACAACACACCACACACACCCCCAGAGTCGTGCACACAGAGACAACACACCACACACACCCCCAGAGTCGTGCACACAGAGACAACACACCACACACAAAACCACAGAGCCCCTCTCAAAGGGAAAAGCAACAAAAAAGGTTTCATAAATAATGAATAGGAGTTGAAAAGTGCTGGTGAATGTTATGAATCTGGGACGCCCTCATCTCTCAGTCAAGGCTGCATGCTTTTGCCTTTCACTGCGTGACAAAGAGAGACAGACACGGAAAGAGACAGAGACAGAAAGAGGTAGAGAGAGTGGAGAGACGGAGCAGAGAGAGAGATGTACAGTACAGTAGTCAATGTGATACTGAAATGAAAGCTCCATTAAGGGGAAGAGAGATTTAGGGCCGCAGAGACACATGCCAAGCCATGGGAACGACAGAGGAGAGGAGAGTGGAGGAGTGAGTTAGTGGTCATAGAGGATGATGTCTTGGGGATGAGCAGACAGAAGGGGTTTGGCCAGAGAACCAGGGAGATCTCCTCTCCTGTTGAACATCTGGAGATCTAATCAAGACTAATCAGGACCTAATTAAGACTCTTACATCTGAGGACCGGAAATAATCTGCACTAATACAGCGTGGCAGCTCGCTTAATTTCAAACACTGACACACCCTCAAACTTAGACGGACTGGGGTCTAGAATGACGAAATGCTGGATGGATCATGTTTCTTTATTACATTTATTATGGAAATGCTGTTGTTACAAAAGCATAAAATGCAAAAAGTGTTTAGTAGCGGGAGCCACAAAGACAGTATTATCCATATAGATAAATCATGACTCATCTCCATGGTATTATGTTGACACTGAAAGCTTCAAGGCCAGAATATGTTTAAAGCTCTCCCTAAGAGAGACAGGGAGAATACGTGTGGAATAACAAGCTGTGTGCATATTCAGCAGTGTTTCTTTCCCCCGCTCACCTTGTATGCGTATCCGCAGGTCCCTGCTGCGTAGGTTGATGTCATTGGCAACCTCACACCTGTAGACTCCAGAGTCATTCCGTTGGAGGGGCCTCAGAAACAGCAACGTGTTATTCACCATCTCCACCCCCTCTGGCATGTTCCCGTCCAGTCTTGGATACACACACAATTACATAAAATGAAAGACAGCCGGACACAATTATACACAAACACTGGTTCAACGCTCAATCTGCAGTAAGAACTAATTTGTCCACACATAAAAACACGAGCGGTGAGCGCACACGCTCACAAACCTGATCCATTTGAAGTGGTGTGCTGGTGGGTTTGATTTGGCTTTGCAGGTCAGTTGGATGTTCTCACGGCCCACGTACCAGTCACCATCATAACCTACCACCACGATGTCTGGGGCGTCTGCAGAGACACGACACAGAGAAGGGGCAACAGACACAATCTGAAAAAGTGGAAAACTCACCCACCCCACAATTTTTTGGGTGGAATTACACAAATCAATAAATCAAGTCTGCTAAAATTACAGCATCATAGACATTACTTATGTGTGAATGATTATGAACAGTAAAGGCAGTCTCGTGGGTACTTAAATCACACACACGAGAGAGAGAGACTCACACTGCACGTTGAGCTGATAAGGGATCCTGAAGTCTGTGTGCAAGGCAGGGTGGCGCACCACACAGGTGAGGGCATGACCCTGGACATGGCGGGTGGGCTGCCACAGGTAGCGAACCTGGGTGCTGGTGGTGCCGTTTGCCTCGTCCTGCAGCGTCACCTCTGATTGGCCAAACAGGTCCGTCTCCCAGGAGACCTCGGCGGGGGGCCGGGCCCGCTCAGCGATGCAGGTGGCCACCACCGTTTCATTGCCCTCGTCGATCAAAGCCACAGAGCCAGCCGACACATACACCTTGGGCTCCACTGAGAGAGAGAGAGAGAGAGAGAGAGACAGAGAGACAGAGAGACAGAGAGACAGAGAGACAGAGAGACAGAGAGACAGAGAGACAGAGAGACAGAGAGACAGAGAGACAGAGAGACAGAGAGACAGAGAGACAGAGAGACAGAGAGACAGAGAGACAGAGAGACAGAGAGACAGAGAGACAGAGAGACAGAGAGACAGAGAGACAGAGAGACAGAGAGACAGAGAGACAGAGAGACAGAGAGAGAGAGAGAGAGAGAGAGAGAGAGAGAGAGAGATAGAGAGATAGAGAGATAGAGAGATAGAGAGATAGAGAGATAGAGAGATAGAGATAGAGATAGAGAGAGATAGAGATAGAGATAGAGGATAGAAAGGGTTGTAGTGTTCAGTCAGAGTTCCAGTAGGGGGTCCCCCATTACATTCAGCCATGGGCCAATTTTTCCTTGAGCGGATGGTCGGGGGGCTGGAAAATAGTTACAAATATTTTTTACACAAAACATTGACCACAACAATCCCAAACAGATACTGTATAGTATTTGACAAAAACAGATTCATTTCAAACCTTGATTACATTGGGATACGATCACATATGCCTCTATTTATGCGTGGGAATACTTGGGAACAGATTTCTTAAATTAACATTACTTTGAGCTGATTTCCTGGTGATTTTACAGTTTTATGTCCAACAACGAAAATCATAAATATACAAAAATATACAGTGGGGAAAGTATTTAGTCAGCCACCAATTGTGCAAGTTCTCCCACTTAAAAAGATGAGAGAGGCCTGTAATTTTCATCGTAGGTACACGTCAACTATGACAGACAAAATGAGGAAATTATGGTGGAAAATAAGTATTTGGTCAATAACAAAAGTTTCTCAATACTTTGTTATATACCCTTTGTTGGCAATGACACAGGTCAAACGTTTTCTGTAAGTCTTAACAAGGTTTTCACACACTGTTGCTGGTATTTTGGCCCATTCCTCCATGCAGATCTCCTCTAGAGCAGTGATGTTTTGGGGCTGTCGCTGGGCAACACGGACTTTCAACTCACTCCAAAGATTTTCTATGGGGTTGAGATCTGGAGACTGGCTAGGCCACTCCAGGACCTTGAAATGCTTCTTACGAAGCCACTCCTTCGTTGCCCGGGCGGTGTGTTTGGGATCATTGTCATGCTGAAAGACCCAGCCACGTTTCATCTTCAATGCCCTTGCTGATGGAAGGTTTTCACTCAAAATCTCACGATACATGGCCCCATTCATTCTTTCCTTTACACGGATCAGTCGTCCTGGTCCCTTTGCAGAAAAACAGCCCCAAAGCATGATGTTTCCACCCCCATGCTTCACAGTAGGTATGGTGTTCTTTGGATGCAACTCAGCATTCTTTGTCCTCCAAACACGACGAGTTGAGTTTTTACCAAAAAGTTATATTTTGGTTTCATCTGACCATATGACATTCTCCCAATCCTCTTCTGGATCATCCAAATGCACTCTAGCAAACTTCAGACGGGCCTGGACATGTACTGGCTTAAGCAGGGGGACACGTCTGGCACTGCAGGATTTGAGTCCCTGGCGGCGTAGTGTGTTACTGATGGTAGGCTTTGTTACTTTGGTCCCAGCTCTCTGCAGGTCATTCACTAGGTCCCCCCGTGTGGTTCTGGGATTTTTGCTCACCGTTCTTGTGATCATTTTGACCCCATGGGGTGAGATCTTGCGTGGAGCCCCAGATCGAGGGAGATAATCAGTGGTCTTGTATGTCTTCCATTTCCTAATAATTGCTCCCACAGTTGATTTCTTCAAACCAAGCTGCTTACCTATTGCAGATTCAGTCTTCCCAGCCTGGTGCAGGTCTACAATTTTGTTTCTGGTGTCCTTTGACAGCTCTTTGGTCTTGGCCATAGTGGAGTTTGGAGTGTGACTGTTTGAGGTTGTGGACAGGTGTCTTTTATACTGATAACAAGTTCAAACAGGTGCCATTAATACAGGTAACGAGTGGAGGACAGAGGAGCCTCTTAAAGAAGAAGTTTACAGGTCTGTGAGAGCCAGAAATCTTGCTTGTTTGTAGGTGACCAAATACTTATTTTCCACCATAATTTGCAAATAAATTCATAAAAAATCCTACAATGTGATTTTCTGGAATTTTTTTCTCATTTTGTCTGTCATAGTTTGACGTGTACCTATGATGAAAATTACAGGCCTCTCTCATCTTTTTAAGTGGGAGAACAATCAAAAAACCCTTTTGCAAATCTTAGTCAATCCATGGGATGGAATTTTTTTCGCATTTGCGTCTGTCATAACGTGACTATGCGAAAATACAGGCCTCTAGAATCTCTTTTTAAAGAACTTGATACACAATTGTGTGGCTGACTAAAATCCCTCTGGATAAGAGCGTCTGCTAAATGACTTAAATGTAAAATGTAAATGGTGGCTGACTAAATACTTTTTTCCCCACTGTATATATGTTCCGATTTTTTGTTGTTGTTGCTCAGGGGCCAAATAAAATCACCCGCTGGCCGAATTTGGCCCGTGGGCTGCCTATTGGGGAACCCTGCTCTAGGGAAGCAGAGTTGAGTTCCTGAGTATGTTCTGGGAGCGGTTCCAAACACACGCACTCTTTCAGTCATTCACCAGGCTGTTTCCTTCTTTCCACCACTCCTTCTTTCCATCTCCGCCCCCCTTTCCATCTCCCTCCTTTTCCCCGGTCCTACTACGCAGTAGCAGCTCAGAGACTTCCTGTAACCTTTCAACAACAGTGTGTGTGTGTGTGTGTGTGTGTGTGTGTGTGTGTGTGTGTGTGTGTGTGTGTGTGTAAGCCATGGCCTTGCCTGGAATGATACATCTATCTAACCCCGACCCTCACTCCCCGGGATCCCTTAAAACAGAGGGGCGTCTCAATTGTGCAACACACAACTTATTGCCCACCACATTCCTCTAGCTCTAATTATAGCACCCTGTTCCTGTACACCCCTCCCTCGCTCCCTCGTTCCTATTCCTTCACCCCTCCTCTCACTCTCTCAACTGTACCAAACTGTCATACTGTTTACCCCACTGCAAATCTTCATGACTCTTCTCATTGCAATGCCCCTTCTACAACCAACCCTTCTTCCAACCACTCATCCTCACTACCTTCAATTCTTTTTCGCTCTCTCCCCTATGGAGGACTAAAAGTGCCACATAAATAATAAACTACACATTAATAATTTCTTAAAGGCTATTTAATTAATTAAATTAGAATTAAATACTAAAGTTTATTAATGTGTCATTAATTAATCAAATACCGATTCATTTTTGAAATACATAATAAATTCACTATGTCATACAATAGTCCTTGCGTTGGAATGTTCCTGAATTACTAAAACTTCAAACTGACCCATCAAAAGTGTAGGCGGAACCTACGCTGATTGGTTAACACGCTATTCAACCAAACAATCATCCGATTAAGCAGCATTTCCTGCTTCAACTTTCCTTGCTAGTTTAAAATGTCTCTACAACTTCCCTGGAATTCACGGGTCCATCCATTGTCCTATCCAGTTGGCCTACTCTACTTCCAGACCAAAGCAAGGATCAGACAGATCGCGCCCCCATTATCTCTTACTCGCCTCACCCCCACAATGGCTATGCATAATTCATACATTTTCCAAGAGGCACTTTACTAAGATACAGGATTACATTTCAGAATCTTACAAGCACACCATTAGCCATACAAACACACACATACACTTACAAGAGGTGTGTTGCACACAGAGATAGACACTGGAGGTGGGTCATATGGACAAAAATCCATATTGCGATAAATTGCCTGAATTGATGAGATAACGATTTAAATGATATTTTAAACTACTACTACTAGTTTGATGGTTGTAGACATTAATTCTCCCATTAACAATCATCCATATTAGCAAACGTATTTCATTTCAAACTTCACATTTCTCTAGTGTAGGCAAAATGCCTGGGATAAGTTATCGGTATAGTCAGTGTCGATAATTTCCAGTTTATCGTCCCAGCTCTAATAGACACCCACCCACACACACACACCAACGCCAACACAAGCACACACACTCCTACCGAGCACGCTGACAGTGGTGGAGGCCTGTGTGTTGCCCAGGGGGAAGGTGGCCACCTTGCAGGTATATACTCCAATGTCCGCAAAGCCCACATCCTCCAGTATGATGGTGGCGTCATGGGAGGAGGGCGAGCGGAAGGACAGGCGGCGTACGTAGTCTGGGGAGATGGAGATGCCGAACACGGGGTTGTACACCGCCACCGTCACCGAGCCTGTGGGGAGCCGTCGCTCCCAGGAACTCTGGGTAAGACTGAGGTTGGCCCCCACATCCACGCTACAGCCCAACGTCACATTCTTCCCCAACACAGCACTCACCTTCTGGGGCACCAACACCTGACTGCCCCCCACACCTGGAGCACAGAGAGGGAGAGAATGAAAGAGAAAACTATTAGTTTCACCATCAACAATCAGTTCATTTAAATTATTTCTGAAGAACTACTGTAAGTATCAACAGAGAGAAAAGCAGAGGGGAATGTGGTTAGTCACTAAGTATAATCATAAGAGTTGTACTTATCTTGGGCAGTGAAACATAAGCCGGTAAGTGGGTGTGTGTAATGTGTATGGCTGTAAATTCAATATGCCCACTGACGACGGCAATAAAGGACTGTGGCAATAGCATACTGACTCCCCCTCTACACCCTCCATCTGTCTCTCAGATCGACATAATTTACTCTAATAACATAAAACACATGCAGTGCTTATGTACGTGTGTGTAAAAGTATGCTAATAGGTAAGGAGGCCATGTGAGGACAAGCTACTAGTATACAACAACAACAGCTGCGATATCTCTGACAAAACACAACACACACACCTAGCTAGTAAAGATGTAACGATTCACCGATACGCATCGGCCCCCGATTCAAATATTTAAGATTTGACTGCATCGTTCTGCGGGCCCCAAACCGATCCAAATCTAACATGCATCGGTCAGAAAATTAATTCAAACGTTACGAATAGCCAATTCGATAATGTATTTGTTGCTCATATTACTTTCTTTCTACCTTCCAAAAAACACCTCATATTTTGTGAGAACTGATGCAGCCTCTCCTTCAGTGTCGAACTAAAAGCATGTAACTGTGATGACAGTCATTGATCTACAAGTCATTTTGCATGCCGAACAACCCCAGGCAATATCAGTAGCCTAGTCAAACTGCACACTGTGCCCAGCTTCGCACGCTGACCAACGCGAGGTATGCGGCCTGATCCTGAACGTACACATCACATTCAGCATTCAAATGCTAAAATGGCTTGCGTGATATTAAGCTTTATTAGTTGAGTGACAACCTATGTAATTTGCTACGTAAGTTATTGTTATTAGTTGAGTGACATCCTACTGGAGACTCATGGGCGGCGCACAATTGGCCCAGCGTCGTCCAGGGTAGGGGAGGGAATGGCCGGCAGGGATGTAGCTCAGTTGATAGAGCATGGCGTTTGCAACGCCAGGGTTGTGGGTTCGATTCCCACGGGGGGCCAGTATAAAAAAATATGTATTCACTAACTGTAAGTCGCTCTGGATAAGAGCGTCTGCTAAATGACTAAAATGTAAATGTAAAATGAGACACACCTCATCTAGCTATGGGCTATCTGCTGAACGGGGCTTACAATATATTTTATTTAGATTGTTCAGGTTCACCATCAGCAATAGTTTTGGTAGTTTTGCTTTAAACAATCAGTGTATTTGGTCAATTTTAGATATACAGGGTAAAGTTGATAATTCCATAACGAGGAATCACTTTTGCGAGGAAATCCAAAGTTGTGCTATATATTAATTGGCTGTCACAGCTCATTTGTAAACGATAAATATTGATACATTACTAGCTCAAACACTTAATCTGCAAAAATGACATGCCAGCTCATGAGCTCCATCAGCAGAACATTTTAATTTAGAATGGAAAATGAATGTTTATGCAACTAATGTTAGTGCATTGAATCGCATCGATTCGTTCTCTAAGCAAACGGAATCGTTTCCTACTTAAGCGTATCGTTCCGGTTTCGTACCCAGCCCATGTATCTAGATACGCATCGAATCGTCTTGAAAGGGAAAGATGCACATCCCTACTAGCTATTCATACAGCCTAATCATGGATGGTATTTGGTATTTTATTAGGATCCCCATTAGCAGTTGCGAAAGCAGCAGCTACTCTTCCTAGGGTCCACACAAAACATGATACAGAACATTAATAGACAAGAACAGCTCAAGGACATATTTACATACATTTAAAAAATGGCACACGTAGCCTACATATCGATACATACACACAAACTATCTAGGTCAAATAGGGGAGAGGCGTTGTGCCATGAGGTGCTGCTTTATCTGTTTTTTGAAACCAGGTTTGCTGTTCATTTAAAAAACTCAAGCACCGATCATTACGGCTGGAATCCCTTTTATAAAGTCCTTAAACCATATTTAAACCAGTGACATACAGTATGTGTTCAAGGGTGACATCAACTATACTGAACAAAAATATAAACGCAACATTTAAAGTGTTGGTCCCATGTTTCATTAGCTGAAATAAAAGATCCCAGAAATTGTGCATATGCACAAAAATATTATTTCTCTCAACTTTTGGCAACAAATTTGTTTACATCCCTGTCAGTGGGCATTTCTACTCTGCCAAGATAATCCAACTACCTGCCAGGTGTGGCATATCAAGAAGCTGATTAAACAGCAAGATCATTACACAGGTGCACCTTGTGCTGGGGACAATAAAAGGCCACTAAAATGTGCAGTTTTGTCACACAGCTCAATGCCACAGATGTCTCAAGTTGAGGGAGCGTGCAATTGGCAGGCTGACTGCAGGAATGTCCACCAGAGCTGTTGCCAGAGAATTGAATGTTAATTTCTCTACCATAAGCCGCCTCCAACGTTGTTTTAGAGAATTTGGCAGTACATCCAACCGACCTCAAACGCAGACAACGTGTAACCACTCCAGCCCAGGACCTCCACATCCGGCTTCTTTACCTGCAGGATAGTCTGAGACCAGCCACCCGGACAGCTGATGAAACTGAGGTGTATTTCTGTCTGTAATAAAGCCATTTTGTGGGGAAAAACTCATTCTGATTGGCTGGGCCTGGATCTCCAGTGACTGGGCCTGGCTACCAAGTGGGTGGGCCCCTGCCCAGTCATATGAAATCCATAGATTAGGGCCTAATTTCCTTATATGAACTGTAACTCTGTGTATTCAATTGTTGCATGTTGCATTTATATTTTTGTTCAGTATAGATATCTTCATTTTAATGTGTGTGTCATCTGAATATGATCATAGTCTTTCAATAAACATGAATCATGTCTGGTAATAGTGTGTGTGTGTGTGGTCGGCAGAGAGCAATACTTTTTTTTTTTTTTTTTTTTTACAGAATTTAGTTGAAAGAGCATTGACGTCAGCTCCGCTAAGACATTCCAAACAAAACACAAGCTTAGTCAGTGCCATCAAACTAAGCATTCACAGACATCTGTGTTGATCTGATCATGAATCCACAGCAACCAGCATTTGGTTTTCCATCATAATAATACACAGGCCAGTGTATTCTGGTACAACATGTATGTATGCTGCCTGCCCTACTTCTGACCTGATCCAGGAATTAAAAGCAGCCCTTCGTGAAACTGCTCGCTCTGTCCCTGTGTCCAATCAGAACTACCCCCTAAAGCTCTGTCATCCCCTCTAGTAATTTACATGGCCTGTCCACACTGTCCACACACACAGCATTAAGATCAGCAGCGGTCCACAGACACAGACAGAGGGGGAGAGGGAAATAGAGAGATGGAGACCGAGACAGAAACCAGGAGGCAGACAGAGACAGAAACAGGGAGGAAGAGAAAGGGAGAGGGAGGAGATATGGCAATATGATGAACAGGAGAATACAGAGGGAGAGGAAACATGAAAATACAGAGGGAGAGGAAACAGGGGAATACAGAGGGAGAGGAAACATGAAAATACAGAGGGAGAGGAAACAGGGGAATGCAGAGGGAGAGGAAACATGAAAATACAGAGGGAGAGGAAACATGAAAATACAGAGGGAGAGGAAACATGAAAATACAGAGGGAGAGGAAACATGAAAATACAGAGGGAGAGGAAACATGGGAATACAGAGGGAGAGGAAACATGAAAATACAGAGGGAGAGGAAACATGGGAATACAGAGGGAGAGGAAACAGGGGAATACAGAGGGAGAGGAAACAGGGGAATACAGAGGGAGAGGAAACAGGGGAATACAGAGGGAGAGGAAAAAGGGGAATACAGAGGGAGAGGAAACAGGCGAAAGGAAGGAGAGGGTAATCTGAAACACAGATGAGAGGAAACAAATGTATCACTAAGAGATTCTGGCGAAGAGAAAAAAAAAGTGGAAGGAATGAGTCCCAGATAGAATAAATGCCAAACATCACAATAATACCACCATGCTGCACCCCGCCAGCCCCCTCAACGACATCACTAATTGCAACAAGCTGCCAGTGGGAAGACGTCATTGTATAGCATTGCTTGGCAACGGACTCCAAACATTCCGCCTGTTTTTGTCGTGCCAACAACAATCCCGGGCCCAATCTCCCAGTCCCCCCCCCCCCCCCCAACAGAAAACAGACGTTTTTTCCTGAGTGTCCCCCTAACAACCCCTCCAATCCTCCAACCTCTGAACCTGAGACCTGAGCACAGAGAGGGTGAGAATGACAGAGATAGGAGAGAGGGAGGAGAGGAAGGAGGGAAGAGAGGAGGGGAAAATCAACACAAGGACCATTCGTTAAAGGACAGGGTTTAATCGAAGAATGCAACAATTCTCTGAACATTTTCTGACCGTCCTGTCATGCCCTGGAGATTAACGGTTGAGTTAAGTGGCGTGGCATTTCATAGGGGTGGGATAAGACAAAGAGGACTGGAAACAGTCAGAAAGTCTTTGTAATCCCTCCCTGAATTCTCTGATTCTTTCCTAGCTTGCAGCACAACGACTAAAGGTCTGTGAATTTTCCAAATTAATGTACTGCCCTGCATTGACCACAGTTGACTTTGCAAGGCTCTTAGGTCTACAAGGTGGAAACACAGCATTGTGTTTACTGTTGGACATCTGTTGACTCTTGCTAGACATGTCAAAGATCACTGGCAGCTGTGTCACTTCCAAGTGGCTCATTTAGTTAGATAGTTACACACAGCGACTGTATTCCCAGCCAGGAATTCCACAATAGGGCATTTACTCACTCCAAAACAGGTGATGCTTGAAAGACCACATTGCAATCCAGCAGAGGCCGAGCTTCATCCACAGAGGAGGACCTACAGGACGTAGGTTCTGATGAGGGGAACTGTAAAACAGAACCATCCTCTGTTGTCCAGGAGAGGAGAGTGGCTGTTTCGGTGTTAACTTCTGAAACTGGAACTTTAAGATGGAGACTTTTTATAA